GTTGTTACAGGAGGATGATTTTGGAATTGAAAGGCCAATTATTTTTCAAAAAAAAAAAAAAAAAGAAAACTCAATGTCCACCAGAAAAGATATTCAACCATTGAAGAAGAGTTATTGAGTTTGGTACTGGCCTTACAACATTTTAATGTTTGTGTTGCAAACAATGCATCAGAGATGGTTGTGTACACTGCTCACAATCTTTTGTCATTTCTGGAAAGATTTAAAAGGACAAGAACACCAGATTATTTCATTAGAGTCTTATGTTACAAGCATTTAACTCACACATTATACATATTGAGGGTCATGAAAATACTATCATGGATGCTTTATCATGGGTTTAAAAGAAAAATGCTTATATAAGATTGAACACTGCTGTTCCTATGTATTTAGAACCAGTATGAAATGTGTAACTCTAGATTAATGAGCTGTGGATCTAGTAATATAATGGAGTTTAGATTTTTCAAGAAAAAAAAAATGATGCCATCTTTTCGTAATGATGGTTCTTTCTTTCTTAAGAGGGAGGAATGTTTCGAAATTGGGTAGAGTTCTTGTGGATTGGGAGGCAGGAAGTTAGAATTTGGCATTTGTAAAATGCTGGGGGGGGGGGTGGAAAAGAGGGAGGGAAAGCACTGCATGGTCCCTTTAAAGGATGATGTGCTTTTCCTATGCTTATAGAGATTTTAGAAGAAATGTCTGTAGGTAGCTTGAAAGTCTGCAAGTACAGAGAGCGCTTGAATTGAAATACTTGCATCAAAAAAACCGTACAGTTAGCAGGCCAAGCAGCATTTTGTTTTGTTATCAAGACAACAAGTTTTGAATTTAGCCAATTTGAACCAGGCACCTGGATACCAAAAACCAATTAACTTTACATTTGATGATTTTGACAACATAGGACCAATCCTATTGTAAGAAATTGATATGTCATCAAGGGTAAAAAAGTGGCAGTTGGGCAAAGACAGGAGAGAAAACTGCCATCTATCAGAATTAACAGCTGTCAGCTCTCAAGAGAGAATCGCTAGCTCTCACAGTCTTCTAAGTTTTAAAGAGAGCACCATCTAAATCAAAGGAACCTACGGCACAACTAGTTAACACTACTGACAGAATATTCAAGGGAGAAGGCACAAAACATTCCAGAAGACACATAACCTTGCTGTGATTTTGAGAGGCTAAATTCTATTTTTTAATAAATTTTATTTTATATATATATATGGGACTTGTATTTATTGGAACAGCATGCCAGTAGCCTCTTGTTTTATTCAGGAATAATTAGTAGTTAAGAGTGGTTTATTTGGTTTGTTAATAATTTGTTCACTCAGTCAGATAAATAAATTGTTACTTGTTAATTGTAGAGGGAGTGTTAGAGGTTTATTTTATTTAACCACTAAAAGTTGCTGAAAAGCAGGTTACACCACTTTTCTCACTCCTTTAACAGATTATAGGTGAGGCGCTCCTCTTCGGGTGTTTCGGTTTTAGTTCTGGGAGGAGGGGGGCTGTTCTGGTCGGGGGTCAATCTCTGCTTTGTAACAACATTGAAGAATGCCAGAGAATCTTCAGCAAAGAACATACATTTCCTTATGTCCACTTTCAGCCACAACATTAACTTGGCATTCATTTCACAACAGCCCTGGCATGTGAAATGATTGCTATGCTTACCATCTTAGTAACAACTCCATCTTAAGTGGTAGTCTGTTGTAACAGGGAACTTAAAAGGGTGCCTTTGTTTCTCAACCTTTTAAATTGAAGTCTTTCTCCTTTCAATTTTGTATTAATATCTTTGACAAAGTACCCTAACACCATGAACTCACTAATAAATGTGAGCATTTTCTTATAATGAATGCACTGGACTGAAAAAATAAGCTAAAAATATGAATTTATTACCTCCAAGTAAACAGTAAAGTCACTACTGTCCCAGAGAACTGTTGGGCTGCTCTCTCATTGGAGAGATGACTGGTATTGAGTTTAACCTGAAAGTCACCACACTTCAGGTGAGGGATTTTATGGTAACCTCAGCTGGTACGGGAATTGAAACTGTGCTGTTGGTTTCACGTTGCATCGCAAAACAGCCACCGAGCCAACTGAGCTAACTGATTCTACCTGACAGTAACTATTGAGATAATAGCAAGTACATAACTTAAGTGGGAAATTCAGCAATTAAGAAAGGAAAAAATATATAATGGATTCAAAGGGCAGAAATTTTGAATTAAAAGACTACTCTAGTTGATGGACAAATGCATTGGCCTCCCTTTCTCCTCCAGTTTAGTTTTCAGGAACATACTTCCAAAACTAGTTTCCTGTTTCCAAGTTTTGATGGTAGAGTTCTTGCCTGTTATTGACTCAACTATGACTAGCTAGTTAAAATTAAAATGGTTTGGCAAAGAAAAAGACACTTACCTACTGTTACGGAGGACATTATTTTATTCAGGCTGGTAGTAGTAAAGAGCGGAGCAAAGTAGATATTTTACAGAAAATGAAAGTGCAAAAAGACCCACTAAAGAAACTAAGCAGCAACAGAATAAGAAGGCATCTGAATCAGACTCTGGTAACAGAACTACAACTTTCATTTATCATCTTGCAATAAACCAGATTTGTTTCTGATAAGTATTCCTGTAGATGAATATTCATGTGACTTTTGACCTACCCATTTTATTTCCAAAAATATCTTCATCCAATTACATATACATATTTTTAAAATTGTAAATTGATATCCTTCCATGAAGTGCATAACTCTTAAAACAAAATGAATCTCATGAGAATGACATGCATAAAGTTTGACAACGTATTTTTGTAAATAAAATTTATTAACAAAATTAAAAACAAAGAAAAATGAATTTGATTGCATGATTTAAATGACCTTACATGCAATGCCTATGCACTAAATATTCAATCTGCACAATTCACAATGAAGAATGTTCAATTTGTTACAAGCATGCCAGTATCAGGAGTTTATCTGACAATTACGTTCTAACAGCACAAAGTCAGCATATAAATTTATATTCTGTCCTCACAAACAGAAATACTGGAAGGACTCACGTGGCTTCTGCAGCATGTTAATGTACTGTAGGATTGTTCACACAAGTTAACCAAGATAAGTTGAAATCACTGGGTTTTGAATATTGAGATTCAAGTTTGAACCAAATGGAATACAAAACATATTTCCACCAATATGATAAAATCTAAATGTTTGATTTGAATCTAAACAGTGGCTTGGAAGAACTGAAGTTGAATATTGCTGAGGAGAGACATGCTGCTGAAGCTGTTCACCTTGCATTGATTAGGATAAACACAAAAATGTCAAATTTCAAACAATCACAACAAATTTATACTCCAGGAGACAGAGTCAATGACTGGTTGGTCAAGGCATTGCAATGGAGAAAGCACCAGAGAATTCAGGCTCCCAATACTTCTGGATAATTCAAAACAATGTATGTTATAACCTCAGCACAAACTGGTGTATTAATTGCTTCAATTTGACAACCCATTTGTCCACTTGGGAATTGATCTTCATTTCACTTCATCTAAGGACCATAACTGAAGATAGGAGATTGATGACTGCATGCAATCAAACACTGCCTTCTATCCAAAAATTAGTGAAGAGAAGGACTCTGATAGCAAACAAATACAGATAAAAGGGGAATTTTCAGTTTACCATCCAACATATTCATGTAAGCAAATTTCCGCTGTGTCCAGGAATTACTGATAACGAAATGAAATTTGGTTTGCTTAATTCCAGGTGCAGGTCAATAGTCAAATTTTACCAACACTGATGATGCAGACTGTGTTCAGCTTAACATATTATTCTCATGTATTACGTCTTTATTCATTAGTGTGTTATCTACTTCAAAAGTACAGGTTTATTTTTCAATGTTTCTCTATCCTCTCCTAAGCCTGCATAAAATTCTTGGGCTTTTGAAGCTCTTGAATTCCATGTGCAACATCTCATCCAAAACAAAAAACAGGGGACAGAAAACTAAACAGTTTCATACAAAGGAAGTGGCAGAGGTGTAAAAATGATGTTTGATGTTTTCTGGGATAGAGCAAATTAACTGGTTCTACTTTCCCATGATGTTTTGGATTGAATAGAACTTGACCAGATTTATTTTCATTTAAAATAAATTCTGATGTTTTTTTAATGCAGTCATCTGATGGTGTTGCTTTCCTCAACCTTTTCAGGTGATAGAGGTAGCTATCTCAGATACTTTTCAGCAAACAATTCAGCATGAGTGAAATCTAACTGTTAAAACCTGGGCTCTTTTAATCATATGTAGTAAATAATAAACATGTCTTGGCTCTGATGAGAGCCAATCCACTCAAAGAAATAGCAGTTTAACCTAAACACAAAAAGCTATTCAAAAGAATTCGGAATTGCTGCTGCCATTCCAAATCTTTATTTCCATTTTAGTTGTCAGTCATATTGACTTTCATGATTTTTTTGTTCCTTTCAACAGGTTAATCATACCTGCATGTTGCCATTCTTTTCAATCTCTAATAAGTTCCTTAAACTGAGTATTTCTCCAGCTCCCACCACCATTTTCCAAGTTGCAAAGTACCTCAACGTAAGTGCATGTCATTCCTACCCATGATGCACTGCTACATATCCACAAAATTTAAATATGTACTGCAAAACTGTTAGGAACGACTTCTCCACAGCACCCAAGTTACCATGGTTTTTTTTATTTATTTTACTGTAGCATAATTCTGGTCCAGAAGATACTTTGCACTTCAGGGGTGGATCAATTTTGTCCATGGAACAATGGCATGCACATCACTGAAACAAGGATTAGAAAATCCACTACAGGTTTTTCATTGTATGGACATAATTTTCTGTCTTTTTGAACCCAAGTTTTCACAACTTGTTTAGAAGAAAATTGAATCACTCATTTTGCTCAAGTCTGTATAGCTCAGTGTATCAACAAAAAAAGGACTCTGAGAAACAAGAATGTCAGTGTTGTGAAACCTTTTGAAATAAGATATAGATACTGTGGTTAAAATCAAGTATTTACCAGCCGTATGAGACATAAGATTCTGTACAGTAATTCCTGAAGTCTAACAGCTTCAACTGATGCAGTAGAACCATCAGTATGGCTGGCTACACCCAGCCCTTCCTTGCAGCTATATGCCAGTTTACACTTCTGTTGGCAGGTCTGCTCGTATGCTTGGTCACAAAACTCTTGAAATCTTCTTTCAGCCATGTTTCAGAAGACAACCTGAAATAGATAGTTACAAATTAATTGAAGAAAGCCTAGTTCTATTGTTCTGTACTTTGAAACTAAGCCCTCTTCCATGCTCCCACTGCATCCATAGATTTTTTTTTTTTTTTTTTAAAAAAAGACCTAGAAAGGTCCAAATCTTTTTCCATGTGGTCATTGATAATAAAGCCAGCATTCGTTGTTAAATCCTAATTGCCCATACAGCAGTTAAAAGTCAACCACATTGCTTTGGATCTGGAGTTAAGGACCATAGATCTCCTCCCCTAAAAAGGAGATTAGTGAGCCAGGTGGGTTTTAACTAAAATCAACAATGTTTACATGTTCAGCATTAGGCCAGATAGTTTTTTTTTAAATTCCATATTTTTATTGAATTCAAATTTCATCCAATGCCATGGTGGGGTTCAAACAGTGTTGTCAGAACATTAACCTGGAGCCCTGGATTATTGTCCAGTGACATTGACAATATGTCACTGCAATAGTAGGAATTTGAGAAAAGCTGAATGCAATCAGAGTCAACATGGTTTTGCAAAAGGGAAATTATGTTTGGTAAATATGATCAAATTCTTTGAGGATATAACATGCAGATTTGATAAAAGGGGAAGCAGTAGATGCAATGTATTTAGACTTCCAAAAGGCATTCGATAGGGTGCCACCTAAAATATTATTGCACAACATTGGCACTTATAATATGGAGGTGGGGGGGGGGAATAGATCAGCATGGATTGAGAATTGGTTAACACACAGGAAACAGAGTCAGGATTTGTGTACCTTTTTCGAATTGGAAAAAGGTGCAACTAATTGTGTACCACAAGAATCAGGATCTCGATTATTAATTATCCATATTAATGACTTAGAGGGAGGAGCACAGTGTAACATATCCAAATTTGCAGATACAAATAGATGGGAGGGTCACCTTCCTAATATCACACAATTCAGTGTCAACATGTGTTTGATAACCCCCTTGGAATGTTTTGATGTTAAAGGCACAATGTAAATTAAGTTGTTCTTGCAACTGCAGTGAAATAAGTGGGCTTTTAAAACTAATCACAGGTACAAATACATATTATTATCTGCTTTGGTTGGCAAAATTATTTTTAAACTGAATTACTTAGAATGGCCAGCACAGAAATAGAGTAGTCAAACCAATCCTGCTTCCTCAAAAGAACTCAGTCAGGGTTACTTCCTAAATCCATATTCTCTCTCAAACTTATCTAACTTTCTGTTCAATTTATCCACCTCAACTAATCATAACGAGGAGTTCCATATTCACACAATTCTAAATTAGTGTTTCCTAATAACCAAGTATTGTATTATTAACTTTGCTTGGTAATTTACTAGTTCCTAGTTCTCTTCTTTCCAAGTTGCACTTTTCCATATCTTGCCTGCCACATCCATACTATAGGACCCTTTCCTGAGCCTCAACTCCCTTCCCCATATCTTTATCCACACACAATATTTCATTATTAGTCTGTACAATAAATTTTTCTTGGATTATTCAACTTTTTCACATCAATATTCCACAACATTGCTTACAGTGAAATTCAAGTAATTCAGTTGCCTTGGTGAGATTTAAACTTTCATTCTATGAAATATTAAACCAAGCCTCCGAGCAACAAGCTCTGTAATATAACCAATTTGTTCCCTTACCTACTCTTCTCATTTCAACCCTACCATGTTTAAACTAAGACTTAACATACAGTTTCCTACTCCACTTCTCCATTTGACTGGAATAGAGAATCTTGCCCCCAGTTCCCTGTGCAGCCACTGTAAATATTTTAAGCCATCTGGGTTAACTGGTCATGACTAATTTACCTCCTTTCCTACCCCACTATGTATAATCTCTGCTGCATTTCCTTTAATTTTAGCTTTTCATGCTTCACACAACTTCATTTGGACAACTGATATACTAAATATCTGTTTAAGTACTTGTTGAAAGAGTACAAAGAGAAATGGGTATTAATTACTAGTACATAATTGAAGTTATTGCTTAGAGGCCATAGTTTAGCAGGCGACACAAGGAAAGATCTATTGTAGTTGGTGGGATTCCTGACTAGGATGAAATGGTGGTACACAGATTGTTTGAGCCAGACTCATTAAACAGCTTAATTCTCCTTACAGTACATTCCATAACTAGGCTTGATGATTCTTTCCATTCTGAACAAGAAGTAATTGATTATTTTCTATCATTGAGAAGAGTTAAAATAAAATTGGACACAATAATCTGATTCTATAAAGGGCCCCACATAATACAACATACATTCATTAATTCTTTTTACCTTCAATTTCCTCGCTGAAGTTAACTTTATCCCACACATTTTAAAAAGCATGAACAATTCCGTTGATGAAAATAGTAAAGACAAGATTGCTTAAGACAGACTGTATAACTGCACATCATTGAGGATACAGCATGCTCAATCTACTACACAAAGATCAAAGGTCTAAGTGATTGTTAAGAGGAAGAGGCCTTCTGGGATGCAGCCCAATAAAAAACAAGATGGAGGAAGAATCAAATTAGAAGGTTCATTTGCATATGGACAAAAATAAAATCAAGGAAATTTGTAATCTGCCCATGAACTGACAACATCCTGTTCAGAAACGATTGATAAAGCTTTAATGAGAGCACAATGAAAATGGACCATGGCAGTGTTCAGTGTAAAATGTCTGATTAGTCTGTTACATATTCTTAATTGCATGAAAAAGAAACATTAAGCAAAAATGTGGTTTCCTATGGCAATAGACGAGGTGTCACTAATAAGTATCTACAGAAACTTACACTAGATGTAAAAACCACAGCTTTGTTAAAATACGCAGAATGAATACCATAACTCAACATTAGGAGACAAAGCACTGAACAAGAAAATAATACAGAACTTGAACCTTGTGTTTTTGGAATTGTGACAAAGTGGAGAAGGGACATGCAAACACACGTAAATCTCATTTTAGAAGGCAAATTATTCCTTTGGGCTAATTGATTCTTGCCACACAACTCTCTGATAATGAAAATGATGCAAAATGCAGTCCATTTATGGAATAGGCAATATAATGCAAAAGATGCATTTTAATGAATCTAAATTGATCTAGGCATCTGGAAAATGGATGACCAAAACAAAAGTCTCCCATTTCACCACGGTATTTAATTTAAAACACAAAGTTCAGTTCACAGAAAAAAAAAAACATTTATATCAACTAATCACAGATGTTATGAAAGCACTTAATATTTAATATTTCTTGGAGCACTTTTTCCATCTGTTGAAGATTAAATAAATTTATTTCAAGCTTAGCCAAAGTAACTGCGGTGGTTTCTTTAAAAAGAGACTGTTGAAAGTTCATGGTGGACACTGAAGACTTTTCTTTAAAAAGGTCATTCTAAAACTCACATGATAGGTGAAATTTACTTGCTTTGCTGTAGACTCCATCCAGGGATGTTTTGAACAGTATGTGTCCTGCAGAGGTGCATGATTCATCTGGTCTTCAGTTGACTGTTAAGAAACCTGCTAGGAAGGGCTGCTGAATTAATCTCTATTATCTAAAAAGAGTCCTTTGTGAAGTTAAGGGGGGGAAACTATTTTGTTCTTTTGAAAGAGTGATTGGAGGAACATGAAGATCGTATCATTGTATTTCCCCAAGTAAGATGTGCCCACGAAAACTCCAGAGACAATTGTGCGGGATTAGTGACTTGACCACGCAACAAACGTCAGTACATGCTATGCTTTATCCTTCTGCCTTCAACAATAACTCAGTTACTAAAAAGCTGACTTCTTGTTCAGAAAAGAAACCTCTATACAGAAATCCATCTGTTCTCTCTTGTCTTGAAAAGTGTGTACATTAAGGTAAGCATTCATAATTCTGTATTACTAAAGTAAGTTAAACGATTATTACATCAACTTGTGGACAAGAAACCAGTACAGTGGAATCTTATAGGGGCATGAACAACTAAACAATGGCTAGAAATTTAGAAGAATCGCTCAAAGTTGAGTGAAGCATTCCTGTCAGAAGCAACTTGTTGCATTTTCAAAAGGGACCAAGGGGTTGAGAAAAGATTCTCACTAGAGAACAGTAACATGCTAATTAAGGAGGAATATTGCTTGTTGACAGCTTAACTAACAATGAATCTTGCTTCATTGGCGTGCAGCCTCCTATTCAATCACCTGTTGTGAAGAAACCAGACATTGAGCACATTGGGGCTTCAGCCAGAGCTAAAGCCTCACAGTACTGCTATACTGGCTTGCTGCTTAGCACACGCATACCCAAGCTGCTTGTCATTAGTGACAGTCCAGGGATGGGCATATTGCTTTGTGGCACAGTGATACACCAATCTCACACATACAGCATGAGTCAGCTACCCACATGGCAAACACACCACATGACTTTTCATATAAATGGCCATGTCTCAAAGCACATGGAGTGGCAGTCCTACATCAAGTCGAAGAGCCTGCAATCACTCCAAAGGCCTTTTGGGGGAGGGGGGTTATGAGCATTGGCAATGACTATGTCCGTGGCCCCCACTGGGGGTGTGTGCGTGCGTGTTGTGGGGGGGTGAGGTGGTGCTGAAGACAGCATGGTGAGCCTTATTAAAAAGTACAACTCCAAGGCTCGGGGGACAAACAGGAGAGTCACAGTCCTATGTATTGTTTTCCCTTCCCACGTGGAAACACATTAGAAATTGGTTATCTGGGAATACAAGGTAAAAAGGTTACTTGGCAATCAGGCCGCGCCCAGTCCGGAGGGTGTCCACCATGAGCTACGTTCTGTGCCATCACTTGCTGTTTCTAGTAAACACCTGAAATTATAAATTGCCTTGAACAATGCCCAGGGCGGACAGGTCAGTGTCAGCGTCAGCATCAGCATCAGTTTGATGGGCAAAAGAACACTTCTGCTGAATAGGAGAGCAGAGAGGGGGCAAAGGCAATCACACACTTGCAAAATGAAAATCCACTTCATTTGCAATCATATCAGAGAATACGTGGAATACACAGCCAGTTCTGCTATAACGCGTGTTCCGGCAACATAAATTGGCTATAATGCGATTGATGAATGGGAAAAGCTATTTTTAAAATGCAAACTTGTGTTGGCTATAATGCTATTTGAAGAGCAGAGAGTGAAGATGTTGATGAGCTGCGAGTCCCACCGTGAAGACCTCTCTACAGATGAACTACAACTTGTTGCTGAGATGGGAAATGGAAGCTGGGGATGAAGATGAAGTAGTCCAGGGTGCAGCACCACGAGAGCTTTCCACTTCTGTTTTGTCTTCTATCCTAAGGGAAATTGAGAAGCAGTGCAGCTCTTAAAGGACAATGATTACAATGCAGAATGCAGCAGGGTAGCAGCTTGTGGAATAAGATCTTATTTGGCACCCTATGGACAACTTCATGAAAGAAGAAAAAAGGGCAAAGCAGCAAAATCTGGATGTCTTTTTTAAGCCAACTTCCAAGAAACAATCAGAAGACAATGAATCACAGCCATTCACTTCTGGTTTAACTATTTTTTTGCCTTAACCCTGCAACCACAACTGCACCTGAAGGTGACGATGGTAAAGACCCTCAGCCCCTGCATTAACAACAGAGCAACCTCAAAACCTCCTCCCCCCGGAGTCATCTTGACATTTGTTTTTTTAAGATAAGGTGTTAAATTTACTTTTATTTCATGATTAGGTATGAATTAAACAGTTATTCAAATTGCACTATCCTGTGTGTTAGGCTTTTGAGTGATTTTTTGAGTGATAGTGATATTTTTAAGTGATCTGCCCCAATCCTGCTTTGCCCATAGGCCCTGTTATTCCTTTAGCACGATTTTCTATAATGGAATGTTGCACAGTAACGCAACTATTGCGCTACAGCATAACTGACAGTACATGCAGTCTGACAGTATTTGAAGTTCAAATGCTGGTCACATGACATGCACCATGTCACAATACAATTCTTGCACAGAGATCTCAATGAAGAAATCATTGCCACTGACTTTAAGAGAGGCCATAACCAACACTGTACTTAGGAGACTTCAAAGGACACAGACTGATCCTCCTACACTTCCGCTGAAACTAGCAGGATCTGTTTGACTTTTTGACTGTTTAAAAGAGTAGAGGGATCTTTACTCCGTATCCAACCCCATTATGTACCTGTCCTGGGAGTTTGAGTGTGGACAGAGCTTTATTTTCAGTTTAAAATAGTAAACACTAGTGCATGCAATGATGAGTTCCCTAGTCTGGGAATGCGAAAGGTCGAGTGTTCAGTGTCGCTCATTCAACTGGTAAGCGCTTCTACTGTTTCAGTGGCTATCCCAACAAGCCATGGGAATTTGATATATGGCCTTTGTTGTCAGGGAGCTGCATGTCATTGTACGTTGAAGCATGTGTCATGGTCTTTGCAAGGCATGCCAACACTGACCCAAGAACTTGGTCTGTTTCTTACACTTGTAACATTGGAGACATGGGTGCAGCCACAGGTTGAATGTTGTACACAGTGGCTGCCTTGCTAAGGCAGTGATTACAAATGCAGGAGAAGCAGGTTCCACAACAATTCCAAGAACAGTGGCAAGACATTGCAGAAGCCAAGGAACACTCAGCTCAGACAAAAATGCAGTTGCACAGCCCGTCAGAATGTATTGGAGGCAAAGGAGGTCAGGATCTTTTAACCTCAAATATACTTGATCGGGATGACCAAGGCCCGATATCAACAAAGACTCCATCCGAGGGAGCCGCAACGCGCTGCGCTAGCTTCCAGGACGTGGGTTGGGGGACCTCTTCTCCCAGTGGCCGTGAAGGTGACAGCTGCTGGAATCTTGTGCGTGACTAACTACTCCCAAGGAGTGATGGGTAACCAGTGTGGAATCTCAGTCATCACACATGGATGCATCAGGACAGTGACTGATGCCATCTGTGCAGACTACACCTGTTCATTTTGTTTCCTCACGAGGTCAGTGCTGCAATCCAGGTAGGAAGATTTGGTAACATAGCTGACTTCTCACAGATGCAGGGTACCTTGAACTGGACGCATATCACACTGGAGGGGGCCATACCAGAACAATAAAGACTTCATCAGTAGGAAAGGCTTCCACTCCATTAAACGTTCAGATGATCTGCAATCACTGGTTCCACTTCATGGGATACCCTGGCAGACACCATGACATCATGAGCATTTTCATGTACCTGCTACATCCGAGGGTCCAGTTGCCTTACGAAGCTGGTTAACCAAGGGACAATGGCTACCAACTGCGAGCATTACAGAACTCCCTAACTGATGCGAATCACAAATACAATGCCGCATATACTTCAAGTAAGGCGATGGTGGAGCACAAGATAAGGCTGAACATGTAATTCTGCTTTTTTTGGGGGGTGGGTGCTGCTGTAAAATACATGGGAGAGAGTGTACAGGATCATCCTAGTATGCTTGCACTCTGCACAACTGGAGCAAGCAATGTGCTGGATGTTTAGGAACAGAGTTTTCCAAGGAAGAGGATAAAGGACATCAAGCTGGATGAAGCTCTCCTTCTGCACAACCGAGCTCAGCTGCAGTGGGCAGTACAAGCCAATCAGTACTTGACTGACACCCGGTTCCAGCAAATGAGAGCTGAAAGCAGCAGACAACTGTGAAATGGTCATTGGTTATCATGCTAGCTTTTAATTTGCACTGTGAGGGCAAATTACAGCTTCTATTTTTGTTTGTGTTCAGTTTTGAAAACTGCAAAGAAAAGCTCATCTTTGGAAGTGTCTGAATGCTTGCCTTCTGTGATGTCACTCATTGGACAATGATAAGGTGCTGGTTGCAGTGGGCATTTACGGTTGAGAAGCAGCAATTTTTGAGAGAATGGTAGGCTAAGATGTGACTAAAGACACATAACTGTGCGGTCTGGTGGACAGACAGCAACTGGGGAAAGAAAGTGTAGCTGTATATGCCAGGAAGTGTCCGCCAGCTATGGAGCAGCATGTTTGGGGATGCCGTGCCATTACTTTGATGGCAAAGGGAACCTCTACTGTGCTACTGCTTGGCCAGGCATTTGGCTGCAGTTTAACGATGGCGCTGTCACCAGGGATGTTGGTACAATCCAGGTTATCAGGTGAATGGCAATTCTTCCAACTATGAGACGGTAGAATCAGACTAGCTTCAGACAAGAGTGGCACCATTATGGCATGGTGGTTAGTTAATGAGAAGGGTTTGGGATATGTGGCAAGAAATTACATTAGACCTCATGGAAAGAAACCCTCTGAAACTCAATTTAATTGACAGCTAGCCAAAATATCCTCAGGTCAAGCCCATAATCTTTAAGAAGCCATTTTATTTATTTAAAACTGAATATAAACAAGCTATTTATTGGTCTTCTCAATAACTAGGGGAAAAAAACTAGCTTCATTTTATATTGTGACCATGGAATACAAGGACGAGGAGGGAAATTGCACTCCTCTGGCCTCGGTCATAAAAACTTAACTGAAATCAAAGATGATAATCTGGACCAGTATTTTTTTCCCTTTTCAGTCACCAAAATAGTTTCTGAACAGTGGTTTTAAACAGCATTGGCTTTTCTCTTGCCCCCACTCCCCCCCCCTCCCCAAAAGCTTGCAGTGTACAGTTTTCTTGGCTCAATCCTGACAGAAGAACACCCACACCATTAAACATTTTCATTTGATCACTCCATACAATAAGTTTACCAAGCAACAATCTACGATTCAGAAAAAATATTAATTTTATTTCTTGGTAAGCTTTAACTTGTAAATTCAAGTGGAACTTGTTTTTCCAGCCCAACAGTTTGTTTGGGTAAGACAAGAAGGAATAACTGGACCTAATATTCACATTTACAACTGCAAAGAAAAAGTATTTCACAAATCCAGCAGCAAGCATGCCCACTATATCAAGAACCCTTGAAGGCAGGGCACTTTTTAAGCCAGTTTATTCCCACATAAGATCTTCAAATTAAGTTCCCCTTGTTGCCAGGCTATTGCAGTGACCAAGAATAGACTGCACACCAGAAAGATTCTGAAGGTAAACAGAAGGCAGAACAATTTCAAACTAACCTACAGGCTGGGAGTACAAATTTTTCTGGCATTGCCCTGCTCAATAGATGCACGCAAGCTTGAAATCCCACAAATCACTCACTATTTGCTGTGAACATACATCAGGCAGCAGTGTGGATTATGCCTGGAGCGGAACTCCAGGCATTGTTGAGGTGGCTGCAGCAGAGGAGCCAGGGACTCTTGGTCGCAGTAGGCCCAATGCAGGGACTCCTGGTTATCAGCAAGGGCGTAGCAGCAATGGACCTGGAACAAGGGCCGGGGTTGGCGGGGGGGGTTGCTTTTGGCTGCAGGGCCACTGTGGGTCCAGCACAGGAGCTAGCATCAGCTGCCTAGTGAGGTGGGCACATAATACAGATGACACCTGAAGAGTGGTGACACAGACGTTGGTGGGTTCGGTGCAGGCAGCAAGGAGTGGCAGTGCAGGTGTTGTTGGGGAGCCGGCTCTGGGTTCACGGCTCATGGCAGAGGCGGTGGAATGAAGATGGACATTCTTCCAGCTATTTTTTTTATTCTTAAACTATTCAAAATGGTGCCAGATTGTGGTGACAGTTGAAGCTTTTCACTGTATTTTTACCGTGTTGTTCATTGTAGAGTACAAGTGACAACGAATCATCATTCAACTATCTCATTTATAACAAGAATACTGAAATTGCCAAGAGGGCAATACATTCAAATTCACAATTTAAAAACAAAGGAAACTTATAGGAAAACTTATTTTCTTCTATTAAAGAAAAGGGATACTTATAATTAAAAAAAAACACCCTCGACTTTGCCTTCTCTGCAGGTAACAGATTCAAACAAGTATTTGTAAATGTAGGCCCTATGTCAAATTCTTTCCTACTCAGGGGAAACGTGACAGAACCATTATCCTTGCATCACTGTCTCCCTCTTCAGAAAAAGAGAACGACTGACCTTTTTATTCTCTGCCTCCGAGCAACTGCACCCTTGTGAGGTTGCAATATTAATTTCCTTTCCTCGAGCACTGTCCCTCCCGACTAGTGAAGCATCAAGACCCTATGAGATCAATATTAAGAGTGGATATACTTCTAGGAAAGGAAATGATTAACGGTCTTTCCATATTTGAGGAATCCTGAGATGATATTATGGCTTTAAGAGTTGTGTTTTGTCCTGGTTTCTTTTAGAAAGAGAGATTTGGAGACAGGTGGCAAACTATGAAAAAATGAACAACTTGTGAAGCCTTGCGTTTATTTTTTTGAAAAGTTGGAACCATAGAAACAGCCTGATTGGGTGTGAGCTTGATTACACCCAAAGAATCAGGGATTTTAAATTTAGCTTTCAGCAGTTGCTGTTGGGTTCTTCAAGAGGTGTCCCTCTATTGGTTACAGCCAAAAGCTAAGGGTTCTCTGGCTCACACGTGAATCCTATTGGAGGCAATCTGTTTTCTGCATTTGCTTTTTGCCAAGGGTGCATTTATTGGATTTTGCCATATTGGAACAGTTAATTACTAATAGTTACTGTATCTATTAACTCTATTGGAAAGCTTAACAGAGTAAGTTATTCTGATTCCTTTTTTTTTCCATTATTTTTACACTATCGTTAAAATACAAAAAGTGTGTTTTGCTTTAAATCCAGGAGTTGGACAAATCGAATTGCATCTGAAATGCAACATCTTACATTTACTTTAAAATAAGAAAAGCTTAGGGTTGAGACTATCTTCTGAATATCTTGAGGGGGTTTGGTCTGGTCCATAACAGTCCAAGAGATCATCGACAAGATTACAACTCATAACAAATTGATAAAAGATCTGGATTTGAAAGCTATCAACAATGTGCCAAAGACACAAAATTGAAGTGTTTCTCTTTTAACTGTGAGCAGCAAGTATCTACAGGAGATTATAGACAAGTTAGATTTCTGATAAAATCAAATGGAGAGAATTGTGTGATTATACATTTTGGACTAAAAATTGAAGCACACTGACGATAGAGGGCAAAACATTATATAAAAAAAGATTTAGAGCACACACACACACATATACTTGCAGTTGTATTAAAAATGTAATACAACATCAAAAAATCACGAGGGAGTCACAAAAAAAAGCCAAAGATTTACAAATGTAACAAAGATGATATTGCCAGCGTTCACTATCATTGCTCCACAATAACTGACAGCAGGTTTTCGGGTTCACAAATAGGTCAACAATGTGGAAGTGCAAAAACTGCTTTTAGGTGATTCAGTGTTTCTCCATGGGGTGTGCTATTGATACTTTAAAATCAATGAAAATATACGGAATTAAATGAGAACTTCACTCTTGTGCTATTTGTTCTGCTGTAAAAACCCTTGGAAAAATAACGTTAACTGTTAAATGATGCTAAATGATGCAGCAACTGCATCAGTACTATATGTAGGTTTGTATTAAGTTGCTATTTGGGAACTTGGAGTGAAAGAAAAATAGATTTCACTTTTCAATTCTGTGAATCTGACTTGTTTGACAGGTTTTCCAAGAAACAATGGGACTCAAGTTAAAATGACTCAGCTCACTAGAAGTGTTAATTGCTGAACTTTTACAAGGCTGAGCTTTATGATTTGGAAATAGATGGTCAGGGACCACTAATAGGTTGATTTCAAGAAAAGTCAGCCGAACAAAAGAGCAGTTTTTTAAGAAAAATTTGTAGAAGTCTTCAGACTGTAGTGCAAGCAGCCCGAATGTGCAGCGGGGAGGAAAAAGAAGGAGCAACAGTATAGGGGACTCATTAGTTGGGGAAACAGACAGGTGTTTGTGTGGTTGGCAACAAACTCAGGATGGTATGTTGCCTCCCTGGAACCAGGGTCAAGAATGTCAGAAAAACTGCAGGACATTCTTTTGGAGAAAGGTGAACAGCCACAGGCATAGTCCAGTTGGTACCAACGACTGATATGGGAAGGGGAATGTGGTCCTACAATCAGAATTTAGGGAGTTAAGTAGAAAGTTAGCAAACACAACCTCAAATGCAGTAATCTCCAGATTACACCCAGCGCCACATGCATGTACAGAAATAGGATGATAAGGTAGATGAATCAGTGGATGGAAGGAGGGCTTCAGGTTCCTGGGATAGGCTCTGGGGACGATGGACGAAGACGGATTGCTTGCACCTAAGCAGAGTTGGGATGGAGTTCCTTGCGGGGCATTTTACTCATACTGTTAGGAGGACTTCATGCCAATGTGGCAAAGGTTCAGGGGCCAAGAGGGAACAGTAGTGGAGAATGACATGGTTTACAAAATACTTGAGGGTACAGCAGGCAACAGCATAGAGAACGGCGAGTTAATAGGTGAAGCTGATGTAAGGGAGAGAGAAATAAAGTTCAAAACAGAGTTAGCATGCATGTATGTAAATACAGTGAATAGAAAGTAAGGTTGGTGAATACAGGCGCAGATTACCACATAGAAACATGATACTGTGGCAAGAACAGAGGCCTAGCTGAAAGAACACTAGGACCAGCTGTTAAATACTCTTGAATACAAGTTGTTCAGAAAGGTAAAAAAAGCAGGGAAAGGAAGAGTATCAGTATTAGTTAAGGAGTGCGTTGCAGTGCTGGAAATAGAAAAACGTCTCATTGGATTCAAGGACAGAATTAACTTGGCTACAGCTAAGCAATTTAAAAAAAGCACAATTACATTGCTTGGTGTAGTCTACAGACCACCAACTCAAGGAACAGATGTAGAGAGGCAAATCTGCAAGAAAATTAGATAAAAACCCAACATTGTAGTTATAATGGGAGACTTCAATGACCCAAATATTGAGTGGGATACTGGTAGTATAAGGGGCAGATGTCCTGAGAATTGGTTCAAAAAGAGTTCCCATGACAGCATGTGTCCAGTCCAACAATAAAGGATGCATTATTGGACCTGGTCCTGGGCCAAGTGAATTAATCATCAGTTCAGGACTATTTAGGAAGCAGTGATCATTGTATCATAAGGTTCACAATGGATGAAGAAAATGTTGTGAAACAATCTAGAGTAAAACCAATTGGCAGAGAGCTGATTTCAAAAGAGTAAGGGCAGACCTGGGTAGGACCGATCAGAACAAGAGGTGGGCAGGAGAAACAGTAACTGAACAACTGGCTACTTTCAAAGAGGAAGTGGGTCAGCACAGCAAAAGGTACATCCTTCAAATGGGATAAAGACAGGACAAACAAATCCAAAGTTCCCTGGTTAACAAATGAGAGAAATTAACATTAGAAAAAAAAAGTACTTGTGACAGTGTAAGGCAGAGAATACAATCGAGAGCAAAGAGGAATACCAAACGTTCACAGTGGAGGTGAAAAAGCAAAGAGAAGCAATGAGAAATTATATGAAGACTAGAAGCTAACAAACAGGGGAATCCCAAAGTCTTCCAAAGGCATCTAAATAGTAAATAATAGTAGTAAGAGGAGGAGTAGGGCCAGAGACCAAAAGGGATTTACACATGGAGGCAGAGGATTTAAAGTCACATGCAAAAGAAGCAAGAATGATGTGAGAAAAAATTTCAACACTCAGCAATAAGTTAGGATATTGATTGCACTGCCTGAAAGGATGGTGGAGACAGGTTCAATTGAAACACTTAAGAGGCCATTAGATGATAATTTGGATCAAAATAACGTGCAAGGGTTTGGGGGAAAAGCAGGAGATTGGCTCTAGGTAATAAGGCTCTGAAGCACTGGTATAGGCACAATGGACCAAATAACCTCCTATGCTGCAACAAATTCTGTCAATTGGATCACAAAATTGAATAGTACAATTATCACCAATGACTTAACAGAGGGGAGCAAAGGCATGGTAGCTAAACTTGCAGATAGCACCAAGATTGTTAGCAAAGTTTGATGTGAAAACATAAGGAGGTTGTAAAGAAATAAAAATAGGTTGAGTTAGTGTGCGAAAATCTGGTGGATGAAGTATAATATGGGAAAATGTGAAGTTGTTCGCTTTGGCAAGAAGAATGAAAAAGAGTATTACTAAATGGAAAATGACTGCAGAATTGAAGTGCAGATGGGTTTTGGTTTTGAGTGCACGAGTTTCACAAAGTAAGTTTGCAGCATCAGTATGTCATGAAGGTGACTTGGACACTACTCTTCATTACAAGAGCATTCGAGTATAAAAGTGAGGAGGTCATGCTTCCGTTATTGAGGGCATTGGTGAGACTGCATCTCAAATACACTGCAGTTTTGGTCTCTTCATTTAAAAAAGGATCTAAATGCATTGACCGTAAGACATAGCAACATAAGCAGGCCATTCAGCCAGTTATAATTACTCCTCCGCAAGTGAACAACCTTACATTTTACCACATTGTACTCCATCTGCCAAATTTTTGCCCACTCATCACCTGTCCATATCCTTCTCAAGTGGAATAGCAAGATTCCTTAATTTTAAACCATTTCACCCACTCCCCCCCCACCCCTCAAAGACTTCCAGTTTCCTCTGGGAGATAGAGACCACGTAGGACGTCTGAGAACGTCTCTAGAGTTCATCAAAAAAAAACCTAGCAGTGAACTTAGACAGTTGACTGACTGTGAAAGTACAAGCACCTCTGGAAATTGGAGTTCATTCCAGAAAAGGAGTGAAATTTCACAGCTGACTTTGGAGAGACCGCATTAGAATTGCTCACAGTTGGGAATGTCAGGATTTCAATGATCAGCTAAGTGTTTGTTTTTAAAACTTATAAATCTTGATTTTTAGTGAGTAGGGTGACATTTTTAATGTTTTGCTGAGATCTGTCTCGATTAATTTTTTTAATATAAAACACAGGTATTAATTTATCCTAGAGCAGCAAGACTGCTATTTTCCGGTTCTGTAGATTAAGGCACAAAGACCCATTTCTGAAGAAGGGTCCAGACCCGAAACTTCAGCTTTCCTGCTCCTCTGATGCTGCTTGGCTGCTGTGTTCATCCAGCTCTACACCTTGTTATCTCTAATACAGTCAGGTATATGGGTTACTTGTAGGGAGGGGTGAGCAGGTAGTGGAGGAGTCTTCTGTGACTATCCCCATCTCAAACAAGTACGCTGTTTTGGAAAATGCAGGGGATGATGGATTCTCAGGAGAATGCAGCACTGGCAGTCAGGTTTCCAGTACCATGACTGGCTGTACTGTAATGAGGTGTATGTCAGGTTCCAAGCAATCGATTGTGACAGGGGTCCAGACAGACATTTCTGTGGCCAACAGCAAGACATCAGAATAGCATGTTGCCTCCCTGGTATTAGGGTCAAGGAAATCTCAGAGGGTGTAGAATATTCTCAAAGGGGAGAGTGATCAGCAGGAAGTCATTGTACACATTTCAAGAGAAAGGGACGAGGTCATGAAGACAGAAATAGGAAATTAGGCAGGAGGTTAGAAAGTAGCTCCTCAAGGGTAC